TGCTAACCGAGGCCTGGTACCAACTGGTTACTTATATAATGAGTTCACTTGGTCCTCAATGGACAAGAGGACCAATAAATATGCCCAGAGGTTAATTTCCCTGCTGTTTATGAACGATATGCAAGTACTTAGTGGCTCGAGTGATGGCTATATATATCCCTATACTTTCTCGTCCAACAAAACCTCAACCTCTATCGATTATATCTGCACTTCCTCTAGTTTAGTACACCATTTTTCAGAAGTAAGAGCTATATTTAGAGAGGAAAGTGACCACTTTCCCATCACGGCTCTGGTTTCACTCTCTTCAGAAGTTAGGCCTCATTCAAGAGAGGAAATTGACACCTTAGCAAACGCCCGGGTTTATAACTATAAAAGGCTATATTGGCACAGACTTGATGTCAAATCTGTCACCACTTATTTGGGCTCAGACGAAGCCAGACACCTAGCAAGGGAAATCTCCCAATCTAAGCCCGGAGACAACACCCCAATGCCAGCTTATACAGAGCTAACTTCTACTCTTAGGAACTTAATGATCCAGAACGATAGAAAAGTAGATGGGATCTCTAGAAAGTGGTTTGATGATGATTGCCATAACTTGAGGTCAAATCTAAGAGCCGCAGTTAAGAAAGTTAACCGATCCAGACAGGATGGTGATTATTCAAATATGGTTCAACTCAGGAGAGCATACAAATCCCTACTGAAAAACAAGAAAAGTAGCTATAACACCAGGATGTGGAAAGAGGTAGAAATGGCAGCAAAATCCCAATTCCCTACGATCTTTTGGCATAAGATAGCCGGTATATTAAAACAACGTTCCCCATTTATGGACACTGATATATGAGCAGTAAAATGGGAGAAGCACTATCTTGCTTTATTTGATGGTAACAATACAACAAATGTCTTGCAATTGGATATCCTCCAGCAAGAATTAAGGAAATGTCCGGAATGGACACCAGTTACCCCTACCGAAGTTAAGCATATAATTCAATCCTTAAAAGCCGGGAAGGCCCCTGGAGAGGACTTGTTGCCTCCTGAACTCTTTAGGTCCAACATTGATTTTTGGGTACCGGTGCTGGTAGCACTGTTTACTTATATCGATAAAGTAGGGATAATCCCTGAAGGGTGGAGGTTAGCTATAGTTTTTCCAATTTTTAAGAAAGGTGACAGAGCTGCCCCATCCAACTACCGACCCATCAGTCTTCTTAATATAATTTCAAAAATGTATACGAAACATCTCCTAAATAAAATAGAGGACTGGTGCTTGGATAAGGAAATTCTGGCAAATGAGCAGGCAGGTTTTAGATCAGGTAGATCTACCATAGACAATTGTTTTGTCCTTTCCCACTTAATTAATAAATACAAGACCCAGGGGAAAAAGCTGTATACTGCCTTTATTGACCTTACTGCTGCTTTTGATTCTATAGATAGGAACCACTTGTGGAGGAAACTACAAGTTATGGGGATGGACCCCAGACTTATTTTGTTGATCAGGATTCTCTATACTAATACGGCAATTAGAGTCAGATATGCAGCAAATGGGGCCTCAACAAACAGCATACCGACAACTAGAGGAGTGAGGCAGGGCTGCCTGCTGGGCCCTACTCTTTTTAACCTTTATATAAATGATATCCCAGCACAGCTGGATGATCTTCTGACGCACAGCCCCCAAATAGGCTCTAGATTTATTAACGTATTAATGTATGCCGATGACTTAGTGTTGTTTTCTAGAACCCAAATAGGAATGAAGAGACTTCTTGACAAGCTCACACGTTACTGTACTGCAAGCCACTTGACTATAAATGTAGCTAAATCAAAAGTTTTAGTCTTTGGCAATAAGAATAAAAAGCACAATTGGCAGATTAATGACACAAAAATTGAGCAAGTTACCCAATATACTTATCTTGGAATTGTTTTTTCCAGTGCAGGAGGTTGGACTCCGCACCATCAACACCTTTCTCAAAAGGTCAGAGCAGGAGCAAGCCTTGTATCCAAATTAAGCAAACGAATCCAACCAACCTCCATCTTACCTCTTCGTAAAGTCTTTCAGGCTAAACTTGTCCCGATCATGCTCTATGGTGCTGAAATTTGGGGTCTTACAGAGGCCCCCATATTAGAGAGAACTCAAAATAATTTGTTAAGGAGGATGCTTGGGGTAAACAATTCCACTTCAGCTGCAGCCGTCAGAGCTGAATTGGGACATTTCTCACTGTACACCTATACAATCACTAGGGCGGTAGCCTACTGGCTAAAAATGACCCAGATGGATGCCAGCAGACTCCCCAAAATATGTCTAGAGGAACAGCAGATTTCAAATCCTCAAAGGTATTCCTGGCTAACCCGGCTGTCAGAAATATTGAACCGATATGGCGTAGGGTTCCCGTTGTGTGACACACTGAACCAAGTTAAACAACGGATTAAAGATATACATGGGCAAATGGACATGGCAACCCTTTCAACTAATCATTCCCTTAAACTGCTGACAGCAGTTAAAACAACTTTCACTCTGGAAAAGTATTTACATTTAGAAATGCCATCAGTGGAGAGACAGTTATTTGTTAAGTTTAGATTCGAACTTCTAGATACAAACGTTAGATTCGGCCGTTATCGGAAAATCCCGTATGACAAAAGAATATGCATATGTGGGGTAAACGTCGTGGAGGACACGGCGCATATAATATTCGAATGTAGTCTCTATCAAGAAGTAAGAAAACAATATCTGTCCCCAATTATAAATAAATTTCCCCACTGGAATATAAGCCAAAAACTAGCATTTCTGTTGAGGGCTGACTCTCCTCCCCTGGTAAGAGCGATCACTCGATATCTTAAAAAAATGACAGCAATACAAGCCAGTTATATCAAAAAACATTTTATCGATTGTAAGGAAGATGAGCTCAGTTAGAGAGGAGCTATCCTATTTGGGTTATCTAGTCTTGGCTATTGAAAATTGATATTGTAAAATTTTAACGTCATCTATCATATATTTTTAAATTGCTATTTTTGTAACCGTTTTACCTTTTTCCCTTTTTCTTTTCTGTTTTGTTTGAAAAGGCCTTCGGGCTATTCAATAAACTATACACTAATACACTTTTTTCCCTCCCTAAAAGGCTGAAAATTTGGGTGTGTCTTATACTCCGAATGTAGCTTTTTTGAAGCTTTTTTTCAGCCCTAACGAGGTGCTAGCGAGTGAAACAATCTTCCAGGCTTTGCCTGCTCCCTCCAACTCTCAGCTGTGCTTCAGAAGCTTTTTTCACTGAAGCGATCTCCGTGCTTTGCCTGCTTTTCTCATTGCTTTTCTCTCCAAAGATCAATTGTGCTTTAGAAGCTGTTTTTTATCCCCAAGCAGGGGATAAAAAGCATGCGTGCACGCTCAAAACCAGCAAACTAATGTGCTGAAGCTGACCAGACTAAGGACGCTAGCCAGATAAATACCTGGTAGGCAGATTCCCCCCCTCCCATTTTCCTCTCCAAAATCTAAGCTGCCTCTTACACTCCAGTGTGTTTTATACTCCGAAAAATACGGTAATTGCTTTGATATATTCTGTTGTCTATCAGCCAAGTATTGCAGAACAAATTAGTTTTTAGGATATTTAGTTAACCATTGTAGTTGGCTGTGTAAAACAACATCATAAATAATAAAATGCAGTGCTATGGTAGGTGATTCTTTACTCAAAAGGGAATTGATGAGAATTTTTCAGAAGATGGATGGATGGATGGATGGAAGGAAGGAAGGAAGGAAGGAAGGAAGGAAGGAAGGAAGGAAGGAAGGAAGGAAATACACTATCCCCCTTCCTTCCTTCCTTCCTTTATATTCCATATATAACCAGAAGCTGACGGCAGACAAAACTCATACTGAGATGAAAAAAGGGAAGCAGGAAAGATGCCAAAAAAAGGAGTGCAGGGGAAAATCCCCCCTGATCTGGCTGGAAGTGAAGAGGAGAGCCAAGAAATACTTGCTCAAGTTCAATCAGGGCAGGAGTTGTCTTGTCTTGTTTCAGAACTTCAGCTGCATTCTTTGTCTTTCCCAGTGCATTGTTCTGCTATTATATTCTTGTTTCGCCTGAGAAATTAGAAGGAAAAGGAGGAGAAAAGTAATGAAGATTCCTAGTGAGGACTGTAGATTGAACCACATTATCTCCAGTAGACATTACTACATCAGGTCCAGGAGTCCACCCCTACTTTAGAGAGCCATGACAAAACTGTGAGATAATCTAGTTCTAAATCATTCTTAAAATTGAAATTATCTGTTAGTGGCCTCAGGTTTGAAAGCTGGGTCCCCAAGAATCCCACTGGATCCTCTGAAGTTCCTATGGTTCAAAGATCTTGGAACCAAGCATGCCTCCACCTAACTATTGGAAGCTTAATATGAAATGTCAAATTCCACCCCACTTTCTAAAAAAAAAAAAAATCTAATTAAAATTATACAGTAAATCATTTATAAATAAAGTCAACCCAGCAGCACTCTGCTGGCCGAAAATGGGCTGTGGGGAGGCCACATGTGGCCCGTTTTGGCAGGCAGAGGCACTGCGGGCCAGTCCTTTGATATTTCCAGGTCGGCCCCACGGGCTAGATTTAAGCACCCGGCGGGCTGGATCTGGCCCATAGGCCTTGAGTTTGCCACCCCTGATACAGATCATACTTACACTAGTTACTTGTTTTTCAATAAGAAAAATGCTGACAAAACCTCTGAAGGAACTGTGCATTAACAGGCTTTTAAAAACTTGCACATTGTGTTTAATAATTTCCTCCCATCAATATTGGGAAGAATTAATATTAACGATAGTGTCCTATGGGAATCTAGAGCAATCTAGTATAAAATTAGAGTCATGACCTTCAGAATAGAGGCAGATGGATGTATAAAATCCAAATTTTGTGTTCTGGTCCAACACTGTAACCCCTAAACCACCTGGTATAGCAGCCTTGGCATTGAATTTGGCCAACTCTGTACATGGGATTGTAATCTTGGTAAATAAACTCGCTTACATGTATTTAATTTGTCCTAGGGAGCTCCGTACAGCCACTACTTCAATGGGCATGGCTTATGAATTTGAAGTAATACAAGCTATGAAGGTGAAATCTTTATTATTGTTGTCTTTCAATAAAATAATAGGATAAATCTTTCAGAAACAGCAGTTCTAAAGAGAACGACTAAAACAGAAGCTACTTAGGTTACATAAGAAAACTATATGGTAAATTCCATGATGATTATGTCCAATATGGAGGGATATTAGGAATTATGATTTGATAATATTGTGGGTGAAGGAGCACCCCTCACCTTATTGTTCCTTACTGCTGTTGTAGAAAGACATAACATATGCTTTGTTTAGATTTTTAACTAGTGGTATGAGGATATCTTTGCCAAAAATATTTAGGATTATAAAGAATAAGAAAACATGGACAGATATCTTGCTAATGAAAGGGGAAGCTGCAGTACAATATTGTCATAGACACGCACAGAGAGAGAGAGGGGGGGGGCAAAGTTAATCATTTCTCCCTTTTCCTTATAAAAATCTCCATAAAAATGCTATGTGAAAGTCTCCATAACATATGCATGCATATGATAGCTGTTTCCTATGGGCTGACATTAGCCTGCTTCTTGCTTTCCCCAGGCAATCGACAGACGTGCTTGGCAGGAATTCTGACATATCATACTCCTTTTCTCCAGCCATGTTTTATTTTCTTGCTGAAAATATTGCTTGTATGTTTACACAATCAAAAGCTTTTCCCCTGTCTCTCTCTTTTTTTTAAAAAAGAAATCAGCATTTTCAGATGTTCAAATAAATCTTGGCATGGCGATAGAGATAATGCTGTCATCCTTGCCAATTAATTAATACTTTGCCCAGCTGATTTTTGTGCAAAAATATGCCTTTCCCATTTTTGACCCTGAAAAATCTATTCATTGAGATAGCCTGGACTGGATGCCTTTCCTATATTTAAGTGACAGTTCACTCTAAATTCTCTTGCAATACAGTAAAATATGAGCAGGATTCTTAATTAAAAAGCATATTCTTTTCTTTTGCTTTTCATACCACAGCTGTGGCTCCTTCCCCCTCCCCCAAAATGCATATGCACTACTGAATGTTGTGACTATATTTTAGATTATTTATTGATTTAGCTTGATGTTGATATATAATTCACACTCACACACACACACACTCCTATACAGAAGACTGTTAGGATTGGTGCCAGGTTCAGCAGGGACTTTGATGCTCTGTCCTATTTACATAGTGGTCTCAACTTTCAGCCCAGCTCCTCCCTCATCCTCTCCCCCTTGTGGGGCCAGCATCAGACAGATACTGCTGCAAAAGAACTTTGCTGCCAAGTCTGTGGTTGGCTCTATTATCAGGTAGTGCTGGAACGATTCCAGGACCATCAATCTGAATTTATGAAAAACTCACATCCAACTTGGATGGTATGAAATTATATTAACATGATAGGTCTTTCTATAAAGGGTCATTCCATGCCACAAGTCCTGTTTTTTATGTCTATATATTTAAGAACTGTATCTGTCTGAGTCTTTGCGAGTATGTATAGTAGAGTGGTATTATGGATTTTGTTCAAATTAATTAAATGAAACTTGCACATTTATACTGCACATGTTCTCGAATTCTGTTCTGACCCTGTTAGTATGAAATGAGACCAGTTTTGGAAAGCTAAAATACTTGTATTTATGTTTTAGCTTAAAGTTTACAGTTCTTGTTGTGGCCAATTCTGGCTAAATATATTTGCTTATTTACATATGTTTTTCATTATTGACAGACTATCGATAAATGGGATTTTAATGTGTTTACCTTAGATGAAGCTGCTGAAGGACACTGCTTAAGATTTATGATGTGTGAAATATTCAGCAAATATGATCTTTTGAAACGTTTCCAGGTCAGGAACTAAATAGAAAACAAAACCATAATGTGTTAAATCTTTCTCCCTCCCTCCTTTCCCCGCTCTGTGTGTGTGTGTGTGTGTGTGTGTGTGTGTGTGTGTGTATCAGGAAATACAGAAGTCCAAATTCTTAACAGGCTTAATATAGAGCACAAACAGTATTAAGACATGATCATCAAGTTGTCTTAGTTTATAAAGTTCATCAGGAGCAAAATAAGATGCTTTGGTATATCTCGCCCTTAGGACTTAAGAGAAAAATCTAGCAAATTTCTGAACAGATGTGGTATTGAGCTGTTCCTCCTGACCTTCTAAAGAAAGATCTTTTCATGATGCCCCAGTATTAGCATTGTTTTGGGCCTAATCCATGTATAATTAAAACCTTCCATATGACATTGAATACTGAAAATCAATAGTTGCAAGAATGACACCTTGTTTGATCTTGTGAATGGCTATTGTATACACTCAATTCTTTTCTCCCACAGATACCACTTAACATTCTAATCACCTTTGCAAAAGCTTTGGAAGCTGGTTACAGTAAACACAAAAATCCATATCACAATTCTATCCACGCTGCAGATGTTACTCAAACTGTGCATGCCATTATGATTCATACTGGAATGATGGTAAGAGATGACACAATACCCCAGAGAGATAAATTCTCTCTTTAAGAAGCCTCTGACGTTAAGTCACATATGATAGTTGTATCCTACATCTGGCAACTAGCTACTACCTGAAAATTAATAATGTACTTTGTGTACTCAGTGGAAAAGTAAGTTTTTACTCATGAGATTTCCAGTGGCAGATAAAGCTTTGCTGGTTCAAAGTCTATTTGCTTTCTCTGCTTCCTCATCAGTGAAGTAAAGAAGCAGCTCTGGATGCACCCATAAGATTGTATCTGTCTCCATGAAGTATTAGATAATAAGCAACCTAATGGTGCAGACCAACATTTCACAAAATGTAACCCAGATTCTATTGTCCCTCCGGTTGTTATTATTATTATCTTCCCATTCTCTCCCTGTGATGACTTCCTTGGCAATATTTACACTGTACTTTTGGGGACAAAACCCCCCAAACCAACCCAGTAATACTGCAGGAATAGAAAAATAATGGAACCAAATTGCATTTTAAGCATGAACAATGAAGCACCAGTGGAGTGCTATAAAGGCAAGCAAATCTGTGATACTTTGATCCTTCAGATGAAATTAGCAATTTGCTTTTAGTGCTTTTATTTGTTCTAAGTTCCCCTTCCCAGTTCCTATAGCTCCTATAGTTCCTATTTCAGTCATGTCCAGTGTTTTCCTTCATACCTCTTCCAAACTCTGTAAATTCTCCATCTGTTTCTGGGTTTGTAGCCCATTTTTCTAAACCTCAAGAGTATGTTGGACACCTGACATAAAAGGGAGAAGTTTCAGATGAAACCTTCACTGGTGGGATAAAGATCGTCTGGAACTTGGCAAAGGGACTTCTGACTTACTGTCTTTTGTGTGTCCCAGAGAAAGTTGTGAACTAATAAATTTGCTAAAGTTGTCAGGATGGGCATTCTAGCCAAATGTACACCCAGTCATTTACTTTCATTTGCATAAAAATGAGTAAAGCATGTGGGTCGACAGATGTTGCTAACACAGTTTCCAACATTCATCACCACTGACATCATAGTGCACATTGCAATGATTTTTGAGTTAGTGCAGTTTGTGCTGGTATATCTATGTTTATCAGAGAATCTTACATATGGAGATGCAGAAGGAGGAACTGATTGGAACCTAGCACAAACTAAAGTACCGGTACTTGATAACCCACTTGATATTTACCTGAAGCTGCCATTTATTGCATATGAGAGGACATTCGTTTCAGTAAAAATCCTTTCCTCCCACTCCCCATCTATTTTGTAAAATAAGAGATAGTATTTACAGATACTGTAGACTTCGTACTTTATTATTGTGTTAAGGAACATCATGAGCTTCTAATTCTTTCCACTAGCAATGGTTCACTGACCTGGAGATCTTAGCTATTTTTTTTAGCAGCATCATCCATGATTATGAGCACACCGGAACTACAAACCATTTCCACATAGAGACAAGGTAAATCATCTGTCCTATTCTACCTGTTGCCAAAATGGAAAGCTTGAGTGGTTTAATGAATTATGGCTGATGCTCAATAGGCATACTTAAGTTTAGCAAAGCAAATAGTCCCTGCCTGTGTCTTCCTCTGAGATAGGGAATTATTACTCCTTCTGAGATAAGGATTAACAAACAGGTAGGTATATGATGACTCAGAGCTGGAGATGAAACTTTCACTACTCAGTTCCTATAGTTGATCTCATCCAGCCATAGAAGTGTAAGAGCTAAAGTGATCTAGTGTTTGGTTTATTTCCCATTAACAGTAGTTGTAGAGTAGTTGAAGCCCAAAGCATTCATTCCACTACCCCTGTATTTCATGACAGTGAACTTCACTATTGACAGACTGCTGGCTGACAATATGCTTCTGAATTGTTTGTGGTTTCCACTAATAATTCTTTTATGATGAAAATGCAATATAATCTATTTCATTTGCTTGCAGGACTCCATTTTTTAATCTCTCTTAAAATGTTGTGCAGGTGCAAGAGGATCCAGGCACGTAATTCTCTCTCAGCCAGCCATAAAGCTGCTGCTAAATAACCTCTATTCAGATAGATATTTATGAAACTGTTATTCTAAAAAGTAAACATAAAGGGTATCTCTATCTATCTATCATCCATCCATCCATCCATCCATCCATCCATCCATCCATCCATATCTGTCTGTCTGTCTGTCTGTCTGTCTATCCATCCATCCATCGATCCATCCATCATCTATCTTTTTCCATTAATTTATCTTTTTCCATCAATTTAACACAAACATTCTTTGGACTTCTACACTAGGTCAAAAGCTGCTCTTTTGTATAATGATAGATCAGTTCTTGAAAATCATCACCTGAGTGCTGCTTTCCGCCTGCTGCAAGACAGAGATACAAATATCTTAGGCAACTTAATCAAAGATGAGTGGAGGTGAGGCTATATATTGATATGTAGCTAAGCTGTTACAATATATACAGTATTAATTGCCAGTTTCTTTTGCTTTCTTTCTGACAAGCAAAGTCAATGGGAAACCAGATTCACTTAACAACCATATTGGTAACTTAACTAACTGCAGTGATTCACTGAACAACTGTGGCAAGAAAGGTTGTAAATTGGGGCAAAATTCATTTAACAACTGTCTCACTTAGCAACATAAGCTTGTAAGTTGAGGACTACCTGTAGTCAAATCATGTAAGTTGCTACAGTGTAAAATACCAATGATTTTCAATAACTCTTCAAATTTACCCTAAAGTTATTTCCCTGCTTTTTTCATGTTGGGGATGTGCTGACTATTTGAAACATTTTTCAGAAGTCCAAATGTGGAAGTTAATTTGTTCACATTTGGAGATGGCCCAGGGACTTCTTTCCATGCTAACCTCACTGAAGCAGAACAATTAGAACAAGTAGTGAAGGCATCCAGTGAAGGGCTTATACAGATGGAAATAGATAAAAAACCGGAAGCCATACTTTGCAGCAAGTGCCTGCAAATTGTTTTTCCCAAGTAGAAGATAGGATAAAGTGCCTCTTAAGGATTGGTAATATTTGGACATTCTTATTTTGACAACACCTAGAATAAAATGTTCCTCTGCTTGCTTTCAGGGAGTTGCGTCGCATGGTTATTAATATAGTTTTGTCTACAGATATGTCACATCATTTCCAGCAGATGAAAGTCATGAAACATGTTCTGCAGTGTCTCCAGTTAACTGACAGGTTAGTTGTATTGGAAAGAGAAGCTGTCCTTACTCTGAATAGGGAGTAGGAGGAGGGCATGGAGACTGCTTAAGAGTTCTAAAGTTTTTTCTGGCTAAAAAAAAGTGGATCCTTTTTTTGTCTGGTGATCAGAATGATCTTAATTTGACAGGACACACAAGGATAAAATCATGTCTTTTCTGGTACACATAGCTGATATCAGTCATCCAGCAAAGCCTTGGGAACTGCACCATCGATGGTCAGAAGCATTACTGGAAGAATTCTTTGAACAGGTGCTGGATTTAGAAGTCTAAGCATATATTATAGGTCTGTGCAACAATTTGGATTTAAAGGCAAAAGGCTGATTCAGAGCATACAGAATGCAAATGTAGTACCTGTCTGCAACTTCTTAAATGTTTTTAAGGGACTTTTTGGTCTCCTCCTCATCCCTGCCTTCCAACTTTGCTATGGAGCATATGAAAAAAAGGCAGGGGGAGAGGGGTATTTACAATGTCAATTTCACTGATGGAAAGAAATTGCAGGATAAAATCTTCTGATGTGGCTCTTGGTATTTTTGCTAAAACGTGTGTATCTCTCTTCCTCTGTTTTAAAAAGAGTATGTTCAAAATACTGTTTTTAACTGTTTTCATAGTATAGCATGTTTAAAGCATCACTTGTTCAGAATAGCTCATGCTTCTGTGAATTCCTTCCTCCAATGCTAGGGAGACAAAGAGGCTGAAATGGGACTTCCAATTTCTTCGCTCTGTGATCGCAAGACAACCAATATTGCAGAATCCCAAATAGGTGAAGCTCATTTAAAACAGGGGAGGCAATCTTTGTTTCCCCTCCACTCTTTTTACTTCTGACATTGTTGACTCTTCTTCCTAACCATCCTTCAAACAATGACTGTCCTTTATGTTAAGCTTTTTCTTTTTTTTTTGAAGCTTCCCCCGTCAGTATCGACTAGGATGCAGAGAGGGGTCTTGGTAACAAGTCAGATTGCAATTATGATTTCATTAAATTACAATGTCGTATTTTTCTCTTCTAGAGAAAATTTTTCCCTTGTCAGTCACATTGGGGCAGGGGTGAAATCCAGCAGGTTCTGACAGGTTCTGGAGAACTGGAAATTTTGAGTAGTTCAGAGAACCGGCAAATACCATCTTTGGCTGGTCCCAGAGTGGGGTGGGAATGGAGATTTTGCAATATCCTTCCCCCAGAAGTGGGGAGGGAATGGGGATTTTGCAGTATCCTTTCCCTGCCATGCCCACCAAGCCACGCCTACCAAGCCACGCCCACAGAACCAGTAGTAAAAAAATTTGAATTTCACCACTGCATTGAGGTAATTCTTTTAAGTGTAGTAAAACAACCATCAGAACAAAGAATGATTCCCTTTTACTTAGGTAATGAAATGCATCATTGCATTGGCTGAATTCATACATCACATGAAGCCATGGTTTCAATAAAGGAGAATATTTGTAGCTCAAGGGCTGAATTGAGGGGCCTTTGGTGCTCTCTGAGCTTGGCTGTTTTCTTGAAGATGTTTCATTATCCAAACTAGGTAACAGGTTACATTACAACAGGTAACATTATTCATACCTAGTATGAATAATGAAACATCTTCAAGGAAACAATCAAACTCAGAGAGCACCAGAGTTACGCTTTGTTTCACTGATGCTTTGTTGAATCACATTGATATAATTTATGTATAACATTAAGCTGGAAACAATGATTTAGGAGGCTGGTGAAAAAAATATATGCCTTTCAGAAGAAAGAAATTCTTCTTCCATCTACTTTTTGGAGAGAGATCAAAAATTAAAAGTAATGCTTCTGCACACAATATGTATATGTGAGTTCAAGTCCTGCCGTAGCCATGAAAGCCACCTGGGTGACTTTAGGCCAGTCACTCTTCTGGCCTAAACCACCTCACCAGTTTATTGTTGTGGGGAAAACAGGATGAGGAAGATCTATTGGATATACTGTATTCACTGCCTTGAGTTAATAGAGGCGGGATACAAATAAATAAAGAACCCTGTAATAATGCTATGCATTTTAGAAATTAATGACCTGCTTTTTATCAGGAGCAGCCTTCCCAAACATGGTCTCCTCCAGATATATTAGATTACAACTGCCCTAAATTCTAGCCTGCAAAGCTGATTTTTTTTAATGGTATGTGGAATGACCTTGGGAGACAGGGCAAAGTGAAACAACCCAATAAAAGACAGCTGAGCCCACAGCAATAATGTGGGTGGAGCCAGAGGCTCACAAGAGACCCTAGTTTTGGCTCTGTAAAAAGGAATGGGGGAAGAGAAGTACTGTCAGTCTTGCAAGATTCTGTTAATGTAACCTTACAATAATGTATAATTAGGTCACTTGATTGTGCTTCCTGTCTGGTCTACCTCATAAGGCTAACGGGTTTGGAGTGTAGAAGTAATAATTTTACTGAGGCTTTGACTAAAGAGCTACTAAGTGACCATTAAAGAGAGCATTTTTAAAGACTTTTGGCCATTAACCACACTCAACTGAACCTGAGTAAAGCTTATTTGTTCAGTTTTAAACTAGTCATTGTGTTTAAATTTTTCCTTTCTTTCTTCCTTTAGGTTTTATTGATGTTATAGTAAAACCAGCATTTGTTCTTCTACTTGAAAGTGTGGAAAAACCATCTACTCCTGTTACATCTGAAGCTGCTAATTCTCTATGTGAAAAAGATAGGTGTGGACATCATTGCTTATTTCAGTTACTGTTGATTCCAAAATTCTGTTTCAGCTTTCCTTTAAGAAATTTCTTGAAATAACTTTACCAAAGTAGAAATTATAATGTCATGTTCTAAACATTTTACAGGAAAGGCAAAGAGCAAGATAGCACTCTTCTTTCCATTCATTGTTTCCAACCCTGGGAACATGCAAATACATTTTCTTTCCACTCTTCCAAATATTGTTTTCCAGTTAGTTTTAATATATTTGTGAGTTTCTAGAAAAGTTGACAGGGAAGAAGAGAGACTCAAGAAATACCCAAAATGTTTGGGGCAGTTTCACAACTGGAGGAGTTAAGTTTTAACTCCATCACTTAGCAACTCTTGCAACAATGGCAACACACTGTAAGGCCGGGGTCTCCAACCTTGGCAACTTTAAGCCTGGTGGACTTCAACTTCCAGCAAAGCTGAGGAGTTCTGCAAGTTGAAGTCCTCCAAGCTTAAAGTTGCCAAGGTTGGAGACCCCTGCTGTAAGGGATATTATACAAGTAGTCCTCAGGTGACAACTACATTTAGCCCAAAATTTATGTTGAAACATTTGTTAAGTGGGTTTGCCCCATTTTACGACTTTTCTCGCTACAGTTGTTAAGTGAGTCATTGCATTTGTTAAGTTAGTAACATGGTTGTTAAGTGAATCTGGATTCCCCATTGACTTTGCTTTGTCAGAAGGTCACAAAGGCTGATCAAATGACTCTGGGACACTGCAACCATTATAAATATGAACCACTTACCCAGGGTCTGAATTTTGATCATGTGACCATGGGGATGCTGCATGAGTGTGAAAAATGGTCATAAGACCCTTTTTTTCAGTGCCATTGTAACTTTGAATGGTCACTAAATGAACTGTTGTAAATCAAGGACTATTTGTAGTATTCTGTGCCAGCTTTTCTCAATGGCATTAAGGGAATAAATTGTTATAGGTAGAGGTGATGGTGTTCTTGCTTTTCCAGCATAGGTTTGGGAAGAAACTAAATAAGAGTTTACTTTCACAGGTATAGCTATCTTCTGTATTCTTTTACAATTCATGCAAAAGTGGCTTCCACATTAAGTTTACATTATAAGATAATAGTAGTATCTCATACAGTAATACTGTGTTTGCTTAGTCATGGCAGTAATTAGTAGAATCTCATAACACTTCTGTAACATACTGTATGCATAAAACACATATTATCTATTTGTTGTTGAATTGAGAAATAACAACAGAAGAGGTTAATGCCTGTTCTTTGAAGCCTGGTGAGCAGATACAAGATTATGTAGTATTCCCTAATCTTTGTGTCATATATTCTGTCTCATATATTCCAGCACTTATTCTCCCCAGTTTCCACAAATTAGGTGCAACAGTCTGAAGAAGACCAACCCTCACATTTGCTCCCACATGTGTACTGTCATGTTCAGACTTTCTCATGGAGACTAGAAGAATGTGGTAGGGTAGAATGTTAATGGAAGGATAGAGCAGAGGATTAGTGTACAGACTCGTTCAATTTTTTTCATATAATTTGTACATCTGAATAGAATTATTTCATAACCAGATCTCTAGGTCATGTTATTTATACTAGCATTGTTCATTGCTTTTCCTATAATTATTTCAGTGCTTGCTTCATATGTAAGATGTGATGCTTGCTTTGTTTTGGGAGTTTTGCAGCTTTATCCTTTTTTTTTCTTTTTAAAGATGAATATTCTGCTTTAGGAGCTGTACAATGGAATAATATAAAGCTCCCAAAGAAATTGCTTATCTGAAAAGCAGAATTTATGATAACAACTCCATGTTGCTGTAAATATTTATTAAATGGTTTATGCAAAAATACAAACAACACTATGTAAACTGAAATTAGTTCTTTTGAATGTTTTTCAAAGAAACATATTCTTTCCTGGAGATATAGAAGAACTGATAAACTTGAGACAACTATCTGTCCCAAATTTCCATGTTGCATCTTACAGAGAGGAATTAAATTCCTTTAATTTCTTGATTCAGAAACTCCCCTAGTACAGAACCTAAGTGGGAGTGGGCATGCTCAACATTGTAGCACGTTCCCTGATTGCAAAAAAGCAAGTGATAGCTATAAGAGGAAATGGAATGGAGTAGTTATAAACATACTGGTGAAAAAGATCCATCCATGTAAAATGGTAAAGAAATTCAGCTCAGGATGAAGAACAGGGACCTTTGATTTTTGTGGTTTTCATCTCCCCTGAAAGCAGAGGTGAAATGCTGCCGGCTCTATCTGGCTTGCGGGAGCTGGTAGCGCCAGTGGTGGGTAGTTTGGAAAGCTGGTAGTGCCAGCGGTGGGAGGCTCCACCCCCCCTAAACTGGGACAATGTCACATCCATTTTGACCATCTGCACATGTGCAGAAGGCTTTACGCATGCATAGATGACAGTGCACGTGGTGCATGCACATCAGCAAGCCAGTAGGAAAGGTAAGTACATTTCACCTCTGCCTGAAAGGTATTTATTAAGAGCATAGCATAAATGAACTACAGTACTAAATGTTATTATAGTCCTCCTTAACTGTATTATACAGAGCTGTGGTGGCGCAGTGGCTAGAATGCAGTACTGCAGGCTAATTCCACTGACTGCCAGCTGCCAGCAGTTCGGCAGTTCAATTCTCACCAGTTCAAGGTTGACTCAGTCTTCCATCCCTCTGAGGTCGGTAAAATGAGGAATCAGATTGTTGGGGGCAATATGCTGACTCTGTAAACCGCTCAGAGAGGGCTGTAAAGCACGTGAAGCGGTACATAAGTCTAAGTGCTATTGTTATTTATTAGATTTTTATCCCACCTTTATTACTTTATAAGTAACTCAAGGCAGCAAATATACATAATGCTTCCTTCTCCACCTGTTGGACTGAGAGAGAATAGGTGACTCACTAAAATAATTTCTAATTGTGGAACTATCCTGGTTATTACAAGAAGTCCTTAACTTACAACTATTCATTTGATGACTGTTCAAAGTTACAATGAAAAAAGTGATTTATGACCATTTCCCACACTTCTGACTGTTGCAGCATCCTTGTGTTCACATGCTCAAAATTCGGACAGTTGGCAATGGGCGTGTATTTGTGATGGATGCAGTATCCTAGGTCATGAGATCACCTTTTGTGACTTGACAGATAAAGCCAATGGGGAAGCCAGATTCACTTAACAACCATATTGCTAACTTAACTAACTGCAGTGTTTCACTGAACAACTATGGCAAGAAAGGTCATAAAATCGGACAAAATTCACTTAACTGTCTTGCTTGGCAATGGAAAGTTTAGGATCAATTGTGGTTTTTAAGTCGAGAACTACTTGTATTAACCACAAACCTACTGTCTCCTGTTAATTTGCTATTCCAGGTTCACTTTAAAATGTGATTTGCATTTAAATACAATCCACATTAATCCAATGACAAAATAGAATTATATGATTAAAACAAGCATGTTAACAATTCCTTCCTTCCTGCTTGCTTTCTTGTGTGACTGCCTTCCTAGGAAAGAACAATCCACGGAGAATAATGAAGTAAATCCCAGTGGAAACTGTCTACCTAAAGATTATGTGATTTGCCTAGAAAAACAGAATTTAAACCTACCAAGCTTTAGGGGCCAAATTCTGCACAATATTGAAACAAATAGAAACAAATGGATGGATAATAAAGAAGCTGTTAACAAAGGTATGGATAACATATACTGACATACTTGTGTTTGATCTTAATGCAGATATTCATATAAACAAAATTTTATATTTTTTTTTAAAAAAATTGAGATAATTTGAGATGAAGGCAGTGCCAATAAAATTTATGCTGCCTCTCCATACTGTGGTTTATAAAATGAGGAACAACCTCCACTGAAAATTCATGACTACAGAAATGGATACTTTCTTCTTCTTCTTTCTTTCTTCTTTTCTGAGTGCAAAATTCCTCCTTCATTTTCTTAATAATTTGGGGGAGTAACATGTTGTCCAATAACTGCAAAGGTCAGACAGTAAATATTGTGGGTAGAGCTGTAATGATCAGATTCTCAAAGCAGAAATCAATTTTTAAAGGTGTACCAACCAATTCAAAACAGAAAGCCAAGCAAACACAAATTAAGATTACTTACTACTGAGCCATAAACTTCCTGAGAGTAGCTGGACACTAAGTAAGTGTGATATAATATTGGAAGAAAAATAAACTGTATTCAGGGGTGATAGAGGTGATAGAGATGAAGGCAGTGTACTATTGTACTACAAGTCCCAATCTTGTGACACATGAAAAAAGCAGAACTTGCATTGCAAAGTTTGATTCAGTTTGATTGGACAGCCATTTGTCCAGAATGATATAGGTCTCCTGCTCGAGCAGGGGGTTGGACTAGAAAACCTCCAAGGTCCCTTCCATCTCTGTTAGTCTGTTCTGTTCTGACTCTGCATATGCCATTTGGATGAAATCATTGGATCTCTTGAGGATGCCTTGGTTGAGTATGCTCTAACTTGGTGCAGAGGAGCACAGAGATTACACCTTGGAGAAAGTATAATGAGACAGTTAGCAAAACATCATCTTAGCCCAAGAAAACAAAAAAATAAGTGAGAGAAAACACTTAAAGTAGACTCCTTGGCTCACTTTAGTATAAAAAGTAGGGAAAGGAAAATGCTATCAGGTTTTAAGTTTCTCTGTCAATAAAATAAGAGTTGTGAGAATTAAATGAGGAAATTTTTCTATGAGTGTCAGTCATGAGTATTGAGAAATAAACATAAGCAAAATGTTTTCTTTTTAAAAAAATGACTAAAATAAGCATAGGTAACCTTTTAAATACCCCAAATTATTCCACTCACAAAGAATTGATTATGGAGAGAGAGAAAGTGGCCCTGGTTGTAGTCCCAGTTGGTGCCTAGGACATAGAATAAGATGAATGTACAAATTTAATGTATATTCAGGTGGAAAAATTGCTATGGATATGTAGCTCCAAAATAAGGGTTCTGATAAAAAACCAAATTGACAGGGAAAATTAAAAGAGCAAATTCTTCTTACACCTTTGAGATTACTCAAACCATTATATTAAAAGTTCCCCTGGATATACCATATCACATACCAGGAAAAACACCACTAAGCCCAAGAAGTAAGAATAGTTAATAAGCATTAACAAGGAAGATTCTAGAAGGAAGAAAGGCTTCATCTGGAAATGGGTCTTTTCTAAAAAAGAACAAAAAATAACGCCATATAGTCCCATACAAGAGATGCAGGCAAGGAAAAAGAGCCACCCACAAGTAGCATGTTGCCAGGATCAAAATGCTGAAAGAATTCTTGGCGTCAGCTTTTTCACTGCAGAAATCCTATGCCTGACATGAAATTTTCCAGAAAGGAGACTGGGGAGGTTAAACAATTAGTGGTATAAAGAAGTGGTATTATAGTGACAAACTGAACAGTCTAAAAAGGTTGTCCATTCTTATGTCTATACCTGCATCCTATTTCTCCTTTCTAAATGGGAGCTCTGTGCTATTACTTGGTTTTCTGTGTATACAAAAAGACACTAACATGAGAAAAATGTACAACCGAGATAGGGAACTTGTAAGAACAAATCCAATGAAAAAATTGAACTTTAGGAAAATTCACAAGTGCTGCATAATATATTATTTTAACAGTCTTTCTTCCTATAAGCTTAGGGTTTTTAAAAAACTTTTTAACACTGTTTGAACATTTACTTTTCAGGAGAACCGCTAGATAAGGAAAGCAACAAGGCTAAAAAGCAAGTTACAGTTAAATCTAAAGGACAGCAAGGAAAACCTCAGAAAACAACAAAGGAAAAATCCCAGGTTTCTAGCCCAAAGGATTACTGTACTGCAGCACAAAATCCCTCAACTTGCCGTTGTCAACTTTGTATCAGCAAAGCATTTGAACCAATGGAGGTCAGCTTCATAGTTTACAATGCAAATTCATCAGAATTATCACAACCACAGCAGGATACTGATGTCATGGATGTCACGGAATCATATGGTATGAAAAGCTCTCTTGTACAATTGTTGACTTTGTAGAATCATTCTTTTTGCCATGCAAAATGTATCAAGGTGTCTTTGGTTATCTATAAATAGAGTTCATTATGAATTCAGGTAAAGGGGGAAAAAACTCTTGTTTATTCATAACCATAGTTTTTTTTTTTACCCATAGTTCTAGAAAGCTATAGATGAAATAGATTTACAAACCAGAAAATCTATATGATGCAAATGAAAATACATAATACTATAATAAATGCAGAATTTTACTTCTGCAATATTTTTCTTAAAAAATATGTAAAGATATACCTGCAAAATTCAAACAAACTCCACGTGCCTGTGTCTTCCAAGCATTAGAAATTCAATAGAAATTTCTGTTAACAGGGTATGGGATATTTTTCCTTTGTAGATGCCTATTGCTTCATGATGAATCCAGTTGAAACTTCCACTTCACCAAATTCTCTTTGCATTTTTTCCCTGCTGTCAGAGCCATCCCATACATGAATTACCACATTTGACAAATCCTATCTTGCTCCATCAAATTAAATAATTTTTATTAATAATTATGCAAATTTTCTGTTGCTGAATGTTCACTTGTAAATTTGAGGTGATGTGGAAATCTTTGTCTACCATCTGTAACTTCCAACAGAGAATTCATCTTTCTAAACATTCCATCACTGAATTCCAGATGTGTTATATTTTCATGTCTTGATTAGGTCAACTAATTGAGATTATGTGTTCAGCTAGTGTTTCATTAATGGGGATCACTGTAACAAAATGAAGTGGCTTATTCTAATTATAGCTTTATAAATTCTAATAAAATGTAGATTTTAAGCATAAATCATCTCTGGATATACATGCATATTTTAGTCTTGATCAGTATAATAGCTGTTATAATTTACATCTAGCTGTCTGCATATTGCTAATACATTAGTATCTTTTTGCTGAATTACTTTAAAATTCCTTTGTAAAATTGTCCTAATACATTTTATAAATATAAGCTTACAATTTTTTTTAAATAAAAAATTGACCTTCATTTTTTTCTAATATGAGACAGCATTACTTTTCATACAAAATGACTTAATTGAATATTCCTTTCTATGCGTTATTTTCTAGAGGAACTAGTAGATAATGAAAGTTCTTGGAGGAAAGCAACATGTCAGAATATAGATGAAAGCGTGCAAGAAATGAGAAACATGGTTCCCAAAACGAAGGTTCTGCATCCTGATGAAAGTGATGATGTTATCATTGAGGAATTTATGCCAAATGATCCAGAGCCCCCCAAAACTACTAAACCACCTGATGATGTTACTCCAATGGATTGTCAGCAACTACCTAATCTTGGATTTTTACGGACAAATTTAACCAAAAGTGACCTGGAAATTTTTTCACTGTGGAATGGTAATCTGCTGTTTCATGGATAATACCTGGGGAAACTGGGATAATTGAAATGTATTAGCAAGAAAAAAGTACATACAAAAACCAGAAATCAGGAAATATCACAATAAATATACACTTTGTGTATGAACTTTACAAAATCTTAAGTAGGACAATCAGATTTCAACTGCAAAATGAGAAATAGTGAGAAAACTACACATCTTATTTATTTATTTATTTATTTATTTATTTATTCATTCATTTATTTATTTATTTATTTATTTATTTATTATTGATTGATTCGATTTATATGCCGCCCTTCGCCAGAGACTCATTATTATTATCATAATTATTTTAGGATTTGTTTTCTAAATGGTAAAGTACTGAAAAAGTTACTGTAAACTTGTGTCACACACTGGCCATTTAGCGAAGGGGGAAAAAAGTCGTGATACGTCACGTGATGACAATGTGACTGCATGAGTTTGACACTCATGCTGTAAGGCATCAGTTTTGTTACTTTTCCCTTTGAAATGGGCAAATGTGAAAATGCAAACAGCAAGAACAAAAACCAATGAGCAAGTCATGAAAAAGGAAGCATTTCTACTGATAGGTCACTTTAGAGTTCCTAGACTGAATATAGACACTAGGTAGTATTTCAGAATACTAAAATACTATTCTTTAAAGCATTAGTAAGGTAGATATCTCCCCCAGTTAAGCCCAGTTTTGGGGGATTATAGCCTATTTTGCATGGCAGTTTTAAACTGTTTGTGTCCTTACTGAAACCAGCTGGAAATCAAGACACGTTTTTAAAAATGGCAGATTCCAATTTTTTTTTTTTTTTACTTGTCAATGAAGCTAGCCAGGGCCTCTGTCAGGATGGCAGTTATCATTAGCCTCTGAGTCTAATTGGCAGATTCCTTTATTAAAAAAAAAAAAAAAACTGGTAGAAATTTTGGCAGTTTCATCTGTTTAAAACACACCCACAATTTCATAAAACAAAAAGAAAACCTAGCCTTTCATTGGCCCACCAGTGAAAAAAGGAGGAGGAAGGGAGGCTTTCAGAAGGGTGTAAAAATCCCAGCCACTTAGTACGAAACAGGTAAAAAGGGGAGCCCTCCAGTCAAATACCCAGGGCCAAGTGGAGCTGAGGCATCTGCCTATGATTAAGTGAACTGAAGTTGGCAATCTACAAAGCACTGTTTGTGCTGGCATACATCACAAAGTGCTACTTTTGATGTACAGCAAGAAAATATAGGTGGAAGTTGCCTTCATGGTGACCTGGGGGTGAGTTGAAGACAACATCATGTGTGTGCCCCTCCTTAAGAAACCATCGGAGGACCATTCTTGTGCCAGGAGAACAGGACATGTGGATCTTTATATACATGCCTTTTTCTTGTCAATGCCATGTGACTTGCCATGTTTCCATCCAGAATACTTTTTTTTTCAATCTTCAGGCCTAGCATATGCCATTCCTAGAAAATCCAATAATAACTAGAAGCAATGCTTCTTGTTTCCAAGATAAAGCTGTGTCAAAAAGGTGCTGCCATCTTCCAAAAATTCTATGACTTATTCATAAAATACTAGATTTTCTACAGGGAGAAATATATTAGAAAGATGCATATAATCAGAAACTTTGTTACTTCATGGAGAAGCTCTGATTAGCACATGTAAACTGAGAAAAAAAATGTGAAATTAAAAATGTGGGGGGGGGGAAACCAATGAGCCTGTCATGTGACCATCTATATATAATTTTCATAGCACTTGGGAATCATAGTTTTTTAAAATCAAAATTGCATCTGCAGTGAAATTCACAACACATTCTATGTGCTTTTACAAATATTGCTGGCCCTAGAATGGTAATTATTTCAAGATGTTACTTTCTCTCTCTACAGAAGAAGTTATGAGACGTGCAGCTGATCAGCAGAAAAAAAAATTGACCGACACAACCGTACAAGTGGCAGCGCAATTGGTGCAAAATGAACAGTGTCAAGGAAGTGGAAAAGCTCCTGCTCAAAATCCTGAAACATTCATCTTACAAGTAATCTCCGTTGATTCTCCTTCTGCAACATGCCAAGATCACACGCCATGTCAGCAGGGCGTTGCCAGTACTCCCGCCCCCACCAATGCTCCTGTACCAGCATCAAATGTCTCTCAAGCAAATGAAGCAAATCCGTGTGGAGCTGCAGCTGTATCTGTCACATCCCTGAGTTATGGGGTCTTTAAAATCCCTTAGTAACTTGTTCACTTGCAGAGTCGGATTGCTCTGTCTTCAAGCAGAATAGGCACCCATATCACGTACAAGGCCAGTTGACGCAAATAAATAGATCTTTTGCCTGCTGGTGGTTCAATTTTCAATGCAGAAAATGTTCATGTGGGAACTTAAAAACCAAGCAGTTGTTTTAGTGAGGTACAGGGCATGTATGAAGTCCAAAGTAATTCCAATTTATTTTCAAAGTATGCATAGCCTTATTATTTTATTTTAACTTAATGTGGGGGAGGGGTACCATGAGAACTGTCATGGACACCGTGGCAACTATAGATCACAGTGCTGATTTTTTTGTTTGTTTGTTTAGTAACATGGAGCCACTATTGTTTGGTTAACAGAACACAATATTAAAAATCCTCATCAATATTTGTGAACATTGCTATGAAGAACAAAGTCCCTCTGAGCTGAGTACAATTTAGTTCTAAGTAAATGGTGCCACAGCTCTCCCAATTTTCATATCTTGTTTTATTTAACTTTGCTTGACTTCTTAGTTTTCTTGGAGATTTAAACAGCTTTCTGAATTTAAAATCTAAATAGAAAAATATGAGTTGGTTAGGTGCCATTGAGTCATGCTTGACTTCTGGCAACAGCTTTGTGTACAGTAATATACTTGTAGCTCTTCCAAGGAGGTCCCGTATTAATTTTTCTACCTGCTCCCACTAGATAGCAGCAAAGATATAATTTCTTGTGGCATTTGTTTTCAACTAGATCCGTGATGATGAACCTATGGCACACGTGCCAGAGGTGGCACGCAGTGCCCTCACTGTGGGCACACGAGCTATCACCCCAGTTCAGCTTTGCCACACATGTGCATGCGCCTCCCACTGGCCAGCTGGTCTTCAGGTCTCTGCTGTGCATGCATGAGGGGAGGGGTGCATGTGGGGAGGCCGTACGCGCATGGGAGTCGAGTGGGGTGCGTGCACGAGGAGCTACATGCGGAGGGCGCACACATGTGGGGGGGTGAGATGCATGCCTCACACATTGCATTGGTGGGGTTTGGGCACATGCATGCGCTTTGGGAACTCAGTCCGGAAAAGGTTAGCCATCACTGAACTAGATCAACCCCTAGAATAGGGCTACCATAGCTGAGCAGCAAAAATTCTGCAGCAAAAGTATACAGTAGTAAAATTCTGTCTTTGCTGCCACCTAATGGCCAACTAGGCCAGACATGGTTATCCTTACACAATGCCTAGAAATTCTAGTTGCATTCTAAAATTAAATGCTATTGTTACAAATGTTTTCTTTAAAGGTAGTATTTTCCTATTACTTTGCACAAATTTACGGAGTACTTCCAGTGTTAAGATAAAAAATCATATCTAGGATGCTCAACAAGTTATTTAAAGGCACAATGAGTATATCATGCCTCTGTGCGTGGTTTTCATGAATCTTAATGAATCAAATACCTTTTTGTAGTCAATGAAAACCATGCACAGAGGCATGATGTACTCACTGTGCCTTTCAATGACTTGCTGAGCAATCTGGATATGATCCATTGAGCTGTAACCACTTCTGAATCCTGCCTGGTCCTTTGGCTGGGCATCATTTAATGTTCTCAATGTTCGTTTTGCTATTATCTCGGTGAAAGCCTTGTAGATGACTTTAAAGGCTTATTGGGGACAGTTCTTTCAATCTTCTTGGGCCCTTTTCTTGTGTATAAGAATCACTTCAGCACTTTTCTATACATCGGGTATTTTTTCTTCTCTGAGGCATCTTGAATAGTTTGCTGGTATCTTGTGTAAACTGACCATCTGCTTTCAGCATTTCAACCGTAACACAGTCATTTCCGGAAGTTTTGCCATTTCTCATTGATTTTATGGCACTTGATACTTCCTCTACTAGGATGTCTGACATTTCCTCTTTCATGGATGTTGTTACTGTTGAGTGGTCTTGATCTTTGTATAGCTCTCAATAGAATTTTCCAATTATTTCCAATATTTCCTGTCTTGTTCTACACCTACAGCCATCTTCATGTTTTAATGCAAAAACCTTTTTTCTTGTATTTATATAAGCTTGCATTTTCCTTGATTAATTCCTTTGTTTTCTTCAATTGCCTTTTTCACAAGCTTCATGTTAAATGGATATATTTCTTCTTGGATATGTTTTCTTATGGTCTTGCAAAGTTCAAGGTACTCCAGTTCATTAGTAAAATTTATAGTATTCTTCATGAGTACATCATGCCTCTGAGCTTGGTTTTATTTTTTATTTGAAAACAATTTTTTATTTTAAAACAAAGGCAAAGCATAAAACCATCATCATTCCAAACAATTACAGACAGTGCATCGATCAGTTAACATCCTTTTGTGCTCAATCCCATCTTCACAATATCCATATATGACCAAAGCTTATTTTTCATATTTTTCATTAAAAAATTTTCACAAATTTTATCTTAACTTCCACTTCATATTACATATTTCATCTCCATATTTTATTATCTATTCATTGATAAAACAAATCCCATATCAAATAATATTGTTTATCTTCCTGTTCTCTTATTTCAAATGTCAATTTACTCATTTCAGCACAGTCCATCATTTTCTTAATAACTTCTTCATCAGTAGGTTTCTTCTCTCCTTTCCAGTTTTTAGCAAATACAATTTTTTATTTATTTATTTATTTATTTATTTATTTATTTAATTTGTATACCGCCCTTCTCCCAGAAGGGACTCAGGGCGGTGAACAGCCAAAATTAAAAACATACAAATGCAAAAGTTAAGATAATTAAAAGAATTAAATCATTGGCTACCCAAATTTAAAACCCCAAATCCATAAAATTTAAAATCCCAATTAAAAACCATTTAGGCTAGGCCGGCTTGATGAAATAAAAACGTCTTCAGGGCTTTACGGAAGGTCCGGAGGTCCGGGATCAATCGTATTCCAGGAGGCAGCTCATTCCACAGGGCGGGTGCCCCCACAGAGAAGGCTCGCCCCCTGGGGGCCGCCAGCCGACATTGCCTGACTGACGGCACCCCGAGGAGGCCCTCTCTGTGAGAGCGTATTGGCCGGTGGGAGGTTATCGGTAGCAGCAGGCGGTCTCGCAAATACCCTGGCCCTAAGCCATGGAGTGCTTTAAAGATGAGAACCAACACCTTAAAGCGCACCCGGAAGACCACCGGGAGCCAATGCAGCTCGCGCAGGAGAGGTGTTACGTGGGAGCGCCACGTCGCTCCCATAATCACCCGCGCGGCCGCATTCTGCACCAGCTGGAGCCTCCGGGTGCTCCTCAGGGGGAGCCCCATGTAGAGAGTGTTACAGTAGTCCAGGCGTGACGTAACCAAGGCATGAGTGACTGTGCACAAGGAGTCCCGATCCAGAAAGGGGCGCAACTGGCGTATCAGGCGAACCTGATAAAAAGCCCCCCTCGCCACGGCCGTCATATGCTCTTCTAAAGACAGCCGTGTGTCCAGGAGGACGCCCAAGTTGCGAGCCCCCTCTGTGGGGGTCAGTGACTCGCCCCCAATAGCCAGCGATGGCACCAGCTGGCTATACCGGGACGCCGGCATCCACAGCCACTCGGTCTTGGAAGGGTTGAGCCGAAGCCTGTTCCTCCCCATCCAGACCCGCACGGCCTCCAGACACTGGGACATCACTTCGAGGGCATCATTGGGGTGGTCTGGGGTGGAAATGTACAGCTGAGTGTCATCAGCGTACAGATGGCATCGCACCCCAAAACCACGGATGATCTCACCCAGCGGCTTCACATAAATGTTGAACAGGAGTGGCGAGAGGACCGACCCTTGCGGCACCCCGCAAGCAAGGCGCCTCGAGGTCGACCTCTGCCCCCCTGCCAACACAGACTGCGACCGGTCAGAGAGATAGGAGGAGAACCACCGCAACACGGTGCCTCCCACCCCCAGTCCCTCCAGCCGGCGCAGCATGATACCATGGTCGATGGTATCAAAAGCCGCTGAGAGGTCTAACAGGACCAGAACAGAGGAACAACCCCTGTCCCGAGCCCTCCAGAGATCATCCACCAATGCGACCAATGCCGTCTCCGTGCTGTACCCAGGCCTGAAGCCGGACTGGCACGGATCTAGATAGACGGTTTCATCCAGGAACTGTGGGAGCTGTCGCGCAACCACACTCTCCACAACCTTCGCAACAAAGCGAAGGTTGGAGACCGGACGATAGTTTGCCAAAACGGCCGGGTCCAGAGAAGGCTTCTTGAGGAGGGGCCTCACCACCGCCTCTTTCAAGGCGGGAGGCAAGAAACCCTCTCGCAGAGAAGCATTTATGATCCTCTGGAGCCAGCCTCGTGTTACCTCCCGGGTGGCCAGTACCAGCCAGGAGGGGCACGGGTCCAATAAACATGTGGTTGCGTTTAATCTCCCCAGGATACTGTCCACGTCCTCAGGAGTCACAGGGTCGAACTCATCCCAGGTAACATTCTCAAGACCAGCCTCAGTCACCCCGCTGGGATCTACCCAGTCAGAGTCCAAGCCTTCCCGAATCTGAGCGATTTTATCGTGCAGATACTGTGCAAAATCCTCAGCCTGCCCTTGCAAGGGGTCCTCCCGTGCTCCCTGATGTAGGAGGGAGCGGGTCACCCTAAACAAGGCGGCTGGGCGGTTATCTGCCGATGCAATAAGAGCGGAAAAGTGGTTACGCTTTGCCGCTTTTATCGCCACTAGATAGGTCTTAATATGAGACCTAACTAGTGTTCGGTCGGATTCGGAGCGACTCGCCCTCCAACCACACTCTAGGCGTCTTTTCCGGCGCTTCATCTCCCTCAGCTCCTCGGAAAACCAAGGGGCCGGGCAGGTTCGGCGTCGGGTCAGAGGCCGCAAAGGCACGACTCAGTCCAGAGCACCGGCGGCTGTCCTATCCCAGGCAGCCACCAGATCTTCAGCCGAGTCGTGTGCCAGAGTTTCAGGAACTGGCCCAAGCTCCCTCTGGAACCTATCAGGATCCATCAGGCACCTGGGGCGGAACCACCTGGTCGGTTCCGCCTCCCTGCAGTGGGGTGCAGCGGTCGAAAGGTCCAGTCTCAGGAGAGAATGGTCTGACCGTGACAGGGGTTCAATAACTATATCCCCTATATCCAGACCACTCCGCCACTGACCAGAGATAAAA